TTTGAGGTCAGTGTGCATCATTTGGACAACTTAAAACAGTTTGCACAGCTGTTAACAGTTTCAGAAGTGATACACAGAGCAGCCTGTTGGGTGACTTTGAAGGCAAACAGCTTCTTGGATTAATTCCACAGGGGCATATTGTTTTTAAGGGAACATTTTTAACCCTGTTTTTCTTTTTACCAGCTTCCTTTGCCAATTATTCTGCTTCAAAAATTTTCTCTTGCATCACTGTGTATCATGCCGCTGCCTTTATGAGTGTTCTCAGCGTTTTATTTTTTATTTTGTTTGGAGACTTTCCCATTCTCACACTTAGGAAAACGCTCAGAACGAAGGATTACTCTCACAACAATATGTGCATTTGAAGGAAAGAGGGAGAAAAAGACTCAACCTGCTGTTGTAGCAGGTGGAGTCCACTGCGCCGCTCGGGGGCATATAAACATTGGCCATGCTTTCCCATATCTCTTGGCATGGACATGTTTCTCCATTTCCTTAATTCTCCACTTGTGTGACTGCCAAATATAGCTTACGCTCCACTGGGCTAAAGTAACTGGGTCACTAGAGCTGTGAGTAATTAGCTGGTTTCTGCTTTATGGCACCAGAAGGCTGTAGAGTGACGTGCAAAGTCATACAGAGGTAATGATTTGACCAAATGTGAGAGCGAAAGGTCAAAGGTGAAAGTGGGCAAGTGGAGGAGCAGGTTTGATTAAATGAATTAAATATATGCATGAAGCCGAGCTGGATGTGTATGAAATAGTTTCCTCACTGTGGACACTAAAAACAACATGACTAAGAACTGATTATAATTTCATTTCAGGAACAATTTGCAATTTAAATAGAAACATGTTATGTTACAAGCTGCTAATGTTTTACGTTTACTGTATAATGGATAAGTAACAGATTTTGTAGACACAGTGACAGCAGGGTGAATACATGCCACACACAAAGCTAGTAAACACTAAATAATGCTTTTTGAATACAAATAAACATCCACTGTGGTAGGATCAGTAAATATCGAGAAAAAAAAGGAAACAAGCATTAAGGCAGCTGCCAGTTTTCTGTCTTATGGATCCATCGGCTCCCTGATTTCTATATTTATTCACAAGCATTTCATAACAAGTACACCTGACAATATAATGCAAGCCAATACTATATTCAAGCAATAAATGCCACATCTGTAAACCTCACAGTGTCTAATTTTTGTTGGGGCCGCTTCAGTGAGGTGTTCATTCAACTCTGTTAATGTTAAATTTGGGGCCATGTGTTTTTTACACAAATACAAATACATGTTGTATATCTTACTATCAAAAACATACTGCAGTTTTGGTTTAAAAAATATTAAACTGAAGGATAAGATAACCAAAATAGTGTATTTTTGTCACCGTCAATAAATCCCTTGAAAGACCAACCAGCATGATCCATTGGTTCCTATTAATGACATACTTCTTCACAAATAGGTCTGACTATATAGCTTCGCTTTTAAAAAAGGCTAAGTTCCTAAAACAGCACTGTAGTTACATTACTCAAACTTGCATTTGTGGGGGGACTGTTTTCAGCTGTGTGGGACTGGCTCAAGATAAATGTGAGATTGACTCATCAAGGAAAATGTGACCCAGTGCAACAATGTGGCTTGTTGTTGGAAGTCAATAGCAGCACCGCCCACCATTTTCCAAATGTGTTCTTTTAAATTGGAAGTGTTTAACACTTTTTTATTATATAAAAGTGGATATTGTTCTTTTCTTTTCATACAAGAACTAATTACCCTGGAGTGGTTGATTGGTCTCTTTTTTAATTCTCTGCTCACTTGTTAACTAGCAGGTGGTGTTCAAGTGCTACAACTGGCTCGGTTAGTGGGAAGCTGAGGTGTGTCCTGTGCAGTCGGTCTATCATAGCTGGCAGTTTACTGGTTATTGAGACAGGAAATAACACTATAGATACACACACCAATGTGTAATCCTTTTATGTGCTTATTTACACCATAAACACAAACATTCATTTTTTTCAAATTAGCTATATAACTCAATATTTCCACGTACCCCCTGGCAACCACAAAAGTCACCCATGGAGTATACGTCCCCTGATTGTGAATCACTGATCTATAAGACTGAGGGTTAAGCTAAATCAGTCTTTGATTTCTGTATAAACAGACAATACTTGTTAGTAAGATAAAATCATTGTTGTTTTTCCGCCTCATGGGATTGGTTTTTGGTAAGGAAAATGTAGAATATATTTTTTTCAGCAAGTTCAAAACCTACAGGAACCCTGTCTGAGAAAGTATTATTGTTTTGTTTATCTAAGGTGAAACCTCTTTTCATCAACTGGTAAACCTGAAAGTTTAACGCAATACAATAGCTAGAGCTCACTGTGTTTATTTTTTGTTGGGGATGATTCAGAGATGTGGTCGTCTTGGTCAGTTTGGCTACTGTACATTGTCTGTCACAGTTATTTTCTCAAAGAACAACACCTATAAAGTATTCCCTATAAAGCTTCCCTTTACAACATATGGTGTATTCCAGTTTTGGTTTGAAAAAGATTAAATTAAGCTTTTTCAACAAGTTTAAAACACACAGGAACTGGTTCTGAGAAAGCATTACCATTAAGTTTTGATTCTTATCGAGGGTGCAACCTCTTCTTTGGTGGTGGCGGGGTACAAAGCTTGAAACTGCTCAGAATAAGACGTGTGCGGTGGAGAGGGCAGGAGTTGGTGAGCAGACACTCCAGACTTCCAGGCAAGACTCTGCTCGCTCCAGCTGCCAGAGTAATAAAGTGTTGGCAGCTGTCCATGGTGCTGAAATCAAGCTCTATCTCTTTGAATGAACTATAAAAGGAGGAGCTGGCCGTGGTGCTGAGATACTGATGCTGCTAGGCTAATGGCACGTCTCACAACAGAACAGAGCATCAGGTGCATGCACACACCGTGGTTGTTGTTTATCCACACTGCTGCTTTCCAGTGAATGAAAAGACAGTACTGAAAAATGTGTTGAATATGACTGATGCAGGCGTGGAACATAGCGTATAGATCCAAGAATAGGAGATCTAATAGGGAGCAGTGGGTATTACCAAATAAATGATGTAGTACAGAAATAGTCTATGTTCTATGTGCATGTGTGTGGATTTGACACAAGCATGCCATAATCTTTCTTTTTTGTTTGTCTGACTTCCTCATCTGTTATCTTTCGAATGCAGGGATATAAAAAGAGACGGAGAGAGGCAGCTCCCCTAATCTGTTCTTTGACCTATAGCCAGAAAGCTGGAGCAGCTGTAAAATGTTTTTCATCCGTATCTCGCAGAAGATGGAGTCTGTGGTGCGTGGCTTTGAGGCAGCCCACGTCGCACTCCTGCTAAGGGTCAATGATCATCCCGGCCCATGGGTGCAGAAACGTAAAGATAGGCCTGGACTGAACAGGGACAGATTACTGACCGGTCCAGAAATGCTTGGCTAAACTTTATTCCTTCCTTCCTTCCTCTCTGGGCTCATAGTGATTCAGTGCATGCGTATATAGGCTGGCCATTCCAGAGCCAGCCTCCCACTTCATCCCTAGTGAGAGATAAGTATTGTTTGTGTATAGCAGCACATTTCATGCTCGGCTTCCCCCACCTGTTCCCTGACCTGCAAAGTCTGAAGGCTGGAATAGCTGTCAAATGCCTTCACCCGTATCTTTCGAGGATGATTGAAAGGAGCTTTTGTCTTGAGCCTCTTTTGAAAGCTTTTTTTTTAAAACACAGCTCAAAAACAAACTTTGGTCAAGGATTTTAAAGAGATGATTTTAAAAGGGTAATGTCACTTTTTTTTTCCTTTTTTTTGCTGTTAATTACAGGAGATTTTGTGCGTTTTTTAATTTGTCTCCTGCAGGTTTGCGAAAGAGTCCTGGCTGCATGTCAAGGTCAAACTATTAATCAAATCTATACTAGCTGGATTTGCATAATGAAGCTGCAAAAATTTGCCTGGGCCTTAAAACCCCTCCAACCCTCTCCTCGCCACCCTTTCTCCATTGGCTCATCCTGCTGGTTTAAGTTTCCAAGCTTCTCTGTGTGATGTCTGACTCTGTCCACCAGTTATTACTCCCAAACACAATGAGGTTTTGTGTGTGTAGCAAGAGAAACAGGGCGGAGGAGCCCAGCTGTGTCTGGTTCAACTAGCAAAAATCAGTTGTTGCTGTTGTTTTGTTTTGCACAGTGGTGATTTGCATTCATTCATGAGACTGAAATTAGCCAAATTGTGGTCGCTGAAAAGCAACTTTTAAGAGCAAACATCATGCATTCTGTGACATTTTAATCACTTTTCATTAGTCCTTCAACAGGAATATGGATTCAAAATGCAAAATATTTTTAATTGTGGCATGCTGTTTTATATGTGTTTCTGTGGAGTTTTGAAGACATATCTGCTATATTAAGAAATCTAAAACTATCTCACAATCCAACACAAATCCAGCTCTGTCAGAGATATTCGGTTAGAAACACAAAAAAAGTTCCCATTTGCTTGTTAAGGCTGCATAAAGAAGTACAAAGAAAATGCCAAAACAAACTCCAGCAAAGTTAAATTCCTCACCTATTAGAAAAGCAAAATCCTCAAAGATGAAAATCAAAACTGTTATTTTTGCGCCCTCGGAGACGTACAGCCTCCAACACCAGCGAAACACTGCAAGATCAGAGGAAAGCACCAAAACCAAAACCACACCAAAACAAGCCATGATAAGGGGGAAAAAGCCTGAAAATAAGCCAAAGGTGGTGGATTATAACATGTGAGGTCGTAAAGAAACTGCTTCTGGAAGAGAAGAGGAAGAGAGAGAGGAGGGGGAAAAAATACCAAGAGCGTCCGCAAGCACGTAGGGATATTTCTCAGTGGATGTCGCCGGAGCAACAACACTCAGTATCCAAGATTTAAATCATTTCATGCAGAAAACGAGAAAACATGTTCCCCGTGTCGCAACACCAAGACAAGAAAAGGAAGAAAAAGAGGATAAAAATATGCTTAAGAAAATGGCAGTGGAAGATGTACTCACCGAGCGAGTAAAAGGGTTCAATTAAAAAGAAATTGGGCGTATAGCGGTGGAGGATTGGTGGTGTGCGGGCTCGCAAATACCGAGGCTCTGCGTCCCTTTTGCGCTCTCTATCGCTGCCGGTGGCGGAGTCATGTGACTCGGGATTGGCCAGAGTTTTTGAGTCAGTCCAAGCTTTTCTCTTGTAGCTACACACGAAGGCATTCAGTGCTGTAATGGATAGGAGCTTTTCTGGTAATGTCATTGATTTTTCTGGCCAGCACTATTCGAGTTTCTCAAAATAAGGTCCGGGTGTCCCAGGAGGGTCCCTATTGGGGGGAATATGTGGGTTATTTAATCTGAGTGTGATTATTTTGATGACAGGTTTCTTCACACATGCAGCTATAGACAATGATACACGATGACAGCAAACTCTCCTTAGATGACTTCTTTCCTATATGCACTCTTATCAAAAGGGATCTGTGATTTCTGCTAATGTGAATTTATTTGGTTTGGTGTGCGATTTGCCCGGGGGATGCGTGGGATTTCCCCCTTTCTGGAATCATTTTTATTTAAATACAATTATTTAAAGTGTATCCCCCCCTCCCCTCAGAGTGATCAATGCTACTTTAGTAGTGACGTAACCGAACACAAAACTCACGTAAAATGCGCTACTTTGGCTCTGATCCAGCTCCGTCTCTCTGTCTGTAGGTAATCACCTATTGTAGGCCTAATCACCACTCTAGAGTCTTGCTCCATGTCCCGCCCACGGCACTATCTGATTAGTAACAACAAGTTGCGAATAATAGCCTATCAATAGTCAGGAGATATTTGCTCCGGTGAGCAGCGGAGCTGTGTGTCGAAGCGAACGCGGCTACTTAAGCTGTAATAAACATAACCATCTGACGATCTGTCTCTGTGATGACAAGCAGCCCAGTGTCCCTGTTATACCAGTGAACTTGCCCGAACAAATAGCTACGGATTTAAATGTTACCTCTAATTACTGAATAAGCCTAATTCATAAATGAAGAGGATAATATCACTAGCCCTGTCTCCATCTAATTGTCAAAAAAGAAAATGTGAATTAGAAGGTGTTTTTTCATCAGTTGTTTGGGAGCAAATGAACCAGCCTACAGTGTAGTTTCATCAGAAGTTGGCGGTATAGTCTAAGTTACACATGGTGGTATTAAACAGAGAAGAAGAAGTAGAAGTTGCAAACCAGAAAAAAAAAACAGTTGTTTGCCAGCTGTCAGTATGTTTTTGTCATGGATGACACCCAGAAATAATTCAAGATGGTTCACCTGCATCACCTCAGACCTTCCTCCTCAGGCCCCTTAGATCTCTTTCCTCAGGCCTCAAGCAATGCATGCACAATCAGTGATCAGCTATAGCACTGATCAGCACTGATCACAGCCAATAGACCAACAATTCCTCTAAATTAGCATTGCTATGTGACCATTCTTTGGTTTGGTTAAGATAGGATTAGGCACAAAAAGACTTGGTTAGGTGTATGGGAAACATTGTGGTTTTAAAATTTCTAGCTATAATGCTACTTCCTTAACGTTATTGGAGCTTCATTGTCATGGTTACAAACACGCCCAACTGTCGATTGGAAACAGGAAACAAACAGGGAATTTAAAGTTGTAAAGATGTTCTCTGGTTTAAAGGCACTTGCTGGTTCCCCTGTGTGGGATAAATGTGCTTTTTTCATTCACATTCACATCTCCATGCTCCCCTGGTGACTGGCTGCAGTATAGGTCATGAATCCCGCCCTCTCCATGTTAGCTGATTGGTCATGGGCAAAACTAAAAGTTTACAGATGATATCTGTCATTCTAGGTAGTTCTTATCACACTGATGTACGTAAATTTTTGTGGCATGATAAGCTTGGCTTTAATTAGCTATTTGATGCTATAAAAAGGTGCTTACATAAGCACTGTAGCGCTCAGACACTTAAGTGTAGTTTAAAAGTTTGCTGCTCCTATTATCCTATGCTTGCTAGTATTGTTTTGTTTTCTGTTTCTTTGTATTGCACTATGGTGCCAGGGACATTGTATTTTTGTTCTTGCTTTTCGCATAACCTATAAAAAGAGGAATGATAATAAACTAAACTAAAGGGTAATTCTAGTTTAAACCCTAACCAGAAAGTCTGGCTGGAAATTGATGAATGTTTACAACAGACAGTTTGAAAAAAAAATTTACCTTTTTTTTTTTCAATTCCAAAATAAGTCTTTCTGTCTTTCTGAACAGGGGGTTTCTTTAAAACCTGTCTGATCAACCTACTGCTTGTTTCTTCCCCCATCTGACCTTTTTTGAGTTGTCGCATTCCCATATGTCATAAATTAACTTGGGCTCAGTGGTATCACAGGTAAACTGAATTATCTGCTATGCCACCACTACATTTACTACCTAAAAAGAAATACTTTTCATCATTATCAGAATTTTTCATTTTATCAAGCGCATTACGTTATTTACATAAATTAAGTCTAATTGCTAATTATCATCATTGCTGAAGGCTGTTATCGTCCACTGAATGGTTGAAAAAGATTTCCATATATCATCGGTCTCACATCTCCAGCCTCTTCGTGCTCTCTCATTTAAAACTACTTAAAGGATTAATCAACCGAGTTTCAATTGAGTCTTATGAGAATATTGATCATGATCATCACTGAGGATGTAAATGCTCCGGGCAGCTCCTAACACAGTTTAAAGCTCAGTTAATGTCAAGAAGTGAGTTCACCTACGGCCCGGTGAGAAGCAGTATCGATTGAGCATCTTCCAAAACATTAAGGTAACTCCAGGACGTTAAAGGTGCAGTGTAGTTTTAGTCTGGAAAGATTCCAGCCTGGCTTGTCATCATGTTTCATTTGATCCCACTCTGCAAGGTTGACAGCTCCAGGCCTCCTACCCGTTCTTGACGGAAACAGGAGTGGTCATGCTGTCAGAGAGGAACAGAAGTCTTTGCTGTTGCTGCAGCTTCTGCCGGGCATATGAGCAAAGGGTCTGTATGGATCAATGACTTCTCAAGGGGCCGATAGGCACAGAGAGACAGATGCAAGGGCAGCCCGCTTTCTACCATGCCTCTTTGTTTTCTTTTTACAAGGACGGATTGCTTGATAGATTTTGGCAAACATCACGGGAGCAGCATGTATCAAGCATGTTCTTGTTCTCTTGTGAGTTTGTGAGGTGTGATTTGGGATGGTGTTAAAATCTCGCCGTGTGTTAAAAGGCTGTGGTGTTTTGTTGTTACACACAAATTGCTTGCTGTTTGAATCACCAGGAGCTGGTTGCACTTGTTATTTGTAACCTGATTACGTCACTAGTTTGAAACTAGTTAGTAGTTACTAAAAATGCACACACAAACTAAGTGATGGAGCAACTCAATCCAAAAAATTATGTATAGGCTGGGTCTTCAGCTAAAACCTTAAAAGCAAAAAAAAAGAAATAAAGAAAAAGAATCCCACCACTCCTCTCTGCTCAGTGTCACACACATGTCTCTGAGCAAATGCCATTCCTGCACAGTATTTCACAGAATTTCTGTATCTATTCATCTCTATCCACTTTCCTCCACCCCGATACACATGGCGATTCTCTGGCTGGGATCCCAAGCTCTGTGTGGATAGTCCAACAGTATCTGGCATGCAGCTCATCTTAGCTGATACTCTGGCTCCGACTCCCAGCTCCGAGCCATGCATCTGCAGGCCCGAGACTCTTCCTCATAACACCTGATAGGCTGGATTTATTCGGTGCCTCAGGTTGAGTCATGAGTGTCTGCACTCTGGCAGTGCAAGAGCTATAATTATAGCGGGGGAATAGGACATGTAATGCAACGTTAATGGCAAAGGGACTGATGCTTCGCCCACAACGTCGCCTTGTCTAGCACAAATAGTGCATTAGCAGCAGGGATTCACTATCCCCGCACTGATTGGAGCTATTAAATTCAATTTAGGATATGTAGAAAGGGAAGTGAAAGCGGGTGGCTGAGTGGTGGATACACAAACCAAATAAGCTGTGTCCGGGTATAATGCTGCCAGTATTATTCAAGGTCCTCTGGGGGGAAAAATTGCCCTTAAATGGTGTCTAAGTTACAGCTCTGAAGAATTTTGAATGCTTGTCCTCTCTTGCCTTTTTTTTCTTCTGTTGCTCTTTTTGTGTTCTGTTCTGCTCTGCCCCATTTTTCAGACATTTCTTTGAATACACCGCCATTTCTCAGAAATTACGCAAAAAGAAAGTCAATTGAGTGCCTGCAAGATTCATGAAAATGTCTTTTATGCTGCTTACTCAAAAATAATGATGAGATAAAAGGTCATTTATGGATGCAGTCAGTATGTGTGTTTGTGTGGGTGGACCAGTGGGTGTTCATGTGTTTCTGTGCATTCTTTTTATTTATTTTTTTGCTCACATGTCTGAGAGTGAGAGTCTGAGCCTGTGCGTGAGCAGATCATGTGTATGTGTGCATCTGCCGGCGAGCACGCAACTGATGAAGCGTAACCTTTTAATATGTTTACACATTGACATTTCCCAAGATCCGTTGTGTTCTGTGAAACTAAAGCCCTTGACATTCTTTAGACTCACATTTCCCTAAGCTGCTGGCCCTGTCAGCTCTCATATCATGCAAAGGCGGCATCAACAACATAATTACATCAACTTCACTACCTCATCTGCCCCCTGTCAAATATGAATTCAAGTTAATGTTTTTGCTTAAAAACAAAGTGTTCCTCCAACTGTCTGTGTGTGATATAATTTGGACATCTCATGATCTTACGTCCACGTGGGAGGAATATTTGATATCCTGGTCATCTTCTCCATTCATGACCTAAAGTACTTATAGTACACAGTGTCCAATATTTTAAGTCTTTCAAAAACAGACCTGATGATTCAGTCTCTGTATGTCCATCAAACTTCAGTGACTGCATCTCACTGAAATTAAAAGGCAAGGCTGACTTCTTTTTTTAATTTTTTTTAGCCCCGGACACCTAATGACTGTGTGGGTTTTATTCCATCTGTTCATTTGGCTTCTCAATATGGCCACCCATATGTTGTTCGTATCATACTGTGAATTAATCTGGCAAACTCAGTGTTTCACCTCGTGATATTATTATTCTGTGTGAAGATCAAAAGTGAAGTTATAACTGTTGCAAATGTAACTCAGACTTTGAAACACACATACTTCAGCTGACAGTAATATACTGTATACAGTTTTAGATTTTAAAGCTGTTCTGATCAATGTCCTTAT